CGCACGGCCGTACCCCACTGCCTCCATCACTATGGGCAATAATTTCCAAAATCTCATTAAAGTGCATTTATCAAAGCCCTAACATGTGCCCTCCGGCTCTGCCATAACCCCGCCAGCCCCCAGGGAGCGGGGGGGAAAATCCCAATTTCTATGACAATTCGCCACCTCGGGAGGTTGGCTGCGGGGCAGATCCAGATCTGCAGATTTATAAGGAATATCGGTGAATTGGAAGGATTTCTCCGCCTTTGAAGCTTCGGGGGGAAGGAGATAGAGTAATCGTGAGAATAGGGAAGCTCATTTAGATTCCTATGTCCTGGAGAAGAATTAATTGTCTGCTGGAGAAAGGCAGGCCAGCGCCGGGATTTTGGGGGGCGGCGGGGACTTTCCCTGCAGTTTCCATAGGGAAGGCTGATGCTGCTCCCTTTCTGCGTGCAAGGGGATCTTCCACCCTTTTTTCCCTCCTTTTTTACTCTTTTTTTTTTTCCCCCCCAAAAAACATCCTTAACACCTTTGTTAATGCCATTTTTCCAGCCAGGAAAAGAGACGGGAATTTCACCCCGCAGAAACTCCGTTTCAATTAAGTTCCTGAAAGCGCCGGAGGATTCAGGGGGCTCTGGTTCCCCTTGATTTTGGGAATTACGATTCTTTTGCGCTCCCTCCGTCCCCGGCCGTGCTGCCGGTGTGGAAGGCATTCCCGTGGCGTGGGCTCCGTACCCACCGCCTTTCCCACGACCTGGCGTGGCCGGTCCCCTCCGAGCCGGGGCCGCCGCCGAGCCGCAGCATCTCCGCTTCAGCGCTGGAAAATGCGATTTAAACCCCTCCGAGAGGAGCTCTCGGGGCCGGGGGGGGGGAGGGGGGGGGCCTGTGGGTTTATTGCGCAGCGATCGTTTTACTCTGCTTTTTTAATTTTTATTTTGGTTTTTTTGTCGCCAAGCCCCTCTAATGTCGCGGCTCTGCTTTCCCCCGCCACACTTTAAAACAAAGAGGGTGTTACTTACAGGGGTGCTCCCGAGGTGAAGCTGCTCAGAACAATTATTGGGACATGGGCTGCTCTTCCCTTTCCCTATTCATTCCAAGTGGATCTCAGGCTAAGAGATAAAAATCAACCTGTCCCCTAACAAAGGCTTTGTGTGGGCTCCGCTAATCCGGGCCGAGCGGCAAGGTGCAGCCCCGCTCGGTTTGTTTGTTTGTGGGCTGGAGGGAAGGAAAAACAATATCTCGCACCTTTGGGCTCATCAAACAATAAATTGATCCACTTCTCGACTGCTGCCGGAGCTGCGGTGCAGGGTCGGTGCGGGCAGGGAGGGGAGGGAGAGCGGCAGGCTCCCGCCAAACACCCTTTCCTTCCTTCGTATATAGATTATATATGATTATATTTTACAACGCTACATGTTATGTTGCATTATATATAATATACGTGTAGGATGTCGCTCGGCAGGGAAGGAAATGGAGTTGGGGCGTCGGTGGCCAAAAGCAGAGGGGGAGCCCCGGCGCTGTGAGAGGAGCGGGACCCTCAGGCCGCGGCAGGGAGGAGAAAGCGACGAAACCGCTTAAAAACACAACCCACGGGCCGCCCGCGGCGTGGCGAGACCCGCTCGCTCGCCCTCTGCCACCCGAGTCTCCTGCGCGCCCTGCGGGTCCGCGGGGGCCGAGCCCACGCGTGTCCGGGGCACGGGGAGCGGCCCGGGAGGCCTCTGTCCCTCTCGCGTCCGCACCGGGGGTCGCTTCCCCTCTCTTAAAAAGTGCAAAAATAAGCGTTAACGCCGCTGACCCCACGCGCGCCGCCCGTGGGGCGGGGAGGCCTCTCCCCACGCAGCTCGTGGGGCGAGCGGCGGGTGCTGGAGCGGCCCGGGAGCGCAGGCGGGGGAACAGCCCCCGTGGGCAGAGCCGCTCGGCCCCCAGAGCCGCCGCTCAGCCCGTGGGCTGGTGCCACCGGCCCGGCCGGGGTGATCCCCTCGAGAGGGGGTCGGGAGGGCACCCCCGGGCCTCCCCGAGCCAGCCCTGCCCTGCCCCCGCTCTCCCCGGCGCTGGAACGTCCCCCCACGCGTGGGAGCGGACGGGCGGGCGCGGGGTGACCGAGGGGGGAGAAGGCACGGAGGGAGCCGGGGGACGCTCCCCCGGCTCTGTCGCGACAGCCGCCGGGCCGCCGTCCGGTTTTCCCCCCACGCAGCGCAGCTGTGGGTGCGGGGGTCGCGGGGGCTGCGACCCCCCGTGACGTCAAAGGGCTCTTACGTCAGCCCCCCGCCGGTGACGTCACGGTGCCCCGGGACTCTCCCTCGGTGCGCAGAGGTGTCCGCGCGTGGGGATGGGGGGGCCGTGACCCCCGGGGCCGTGTCCGACCTCTCCTCCCGTGGGCATCTCCCGCTCCCGCCGCCCTGGGGCTCTGCGGGACCCTCTGCCAGCGCCTGTCCGGGTTCGGATGGGGAGTTTTTAATCGCTATTATCGTTATTAATATTATCATCGTTATTTAAAGCCTGGCCCGCGCCGCCCCGGGGATGATCTGCCCGTCCCTCCCCGCGCTCGGCTTCTGTCGGGGTTCTCCGTCCCGCCGCTATCGCGATAGTCACTGTTATCCCTTGCTCTTTTTTCCTCTCGGTGGAATTAAAGCCCATCCTATCCCATTCGAACCGCCCTCCCCGCTCCGGGGGCCCGAATAAATCCGTCGGTAACCCCGAGATTTGCTGGGAGTTCGCTGGGAGTTCCGCCCGGTGCGAGGGGAAGGGGAAGGAAGCGGGGCGGGGGGGGTGGCTCGCCCGAAGGGGTTCCCTCGATATCGAGGAGGACTCCGCAATGGATGAAGAGATAGCCATTGAGTGCGGTTGAATACCATGACAACTAGGAACAACCTCAGATTTATTCCCAACAGTTAGGGCGCGCTGAAAGAGGGCGTCAATCACGTATTATTTCGCCACTGAAATAAATGCAAAAACTGCGCCGAGACAAAGGGTTCCAACAGGAGCCGGACATTTGTCTACATTGCGGACATTGTCCCCAGCTTAGCCGTCGGGTTGTATTTGTGTTTGCGCGGGGCCGACCACCCAGGATGCGCGCAGGGGCTCGCTTAAAAAAAAAAAAAAAAAGAAAAAAAAAAAAAAGAGGGGGGGGGAAAATCCCTGGGCATTGTCAGCCACATCACATACTTTATGGGAGGCAGGCTGGGGGCTGGGGGAGGAAAGATGGGGGGAGCGGCGAGGGAGAGGAGGGGAAGGTGCGAATCCATTGATGGGCGCAGAGGAGGATGACTGAGAGACCGTCTTCCCACCGCGGCCGGCGGCGTTACGGCTCCTTCCCCCTGGAAGAGAGGCTCGGGCAACTTTTCTTTCCCAGAAACGAGGGGAAATTCCCAGATTATAGAAATCCCCCCCCGCGCCCACCCCGCGCATCTCCATCATCCCCGCGCACAGGCCCGTCCCGGGGCGATCGGGGCAGGGGCAGGGACAGGGACGGGGAAAAGGAAAGGGAAAGGGAAAGGGAAAGGTACGGGATGAAAAGGTAAATTGTACACGTGAAAGGTACCGGGAACGGGACAAAGTGACCATGGCCCGTTCCCGCCCCTTGCACTTCACCTTTCCACGGGCGTTTACGGACTTCATTCGCCTGTGGTGCCATGGTGCCGGTGTCAGATCCCTATTCCATGTATCCCTTCGTGCGGGTGTTCTCAGTTCCTAAGGCCTTCCTCGGCGGGTTCGGGTAGAGGAGGATAAATAAGTAAGGGTAAAGCAAAATAAAAAACAGCTGGTCATGACGAAGTAATTGGTGGAGTTGGTCACCAGTCAATGTGTTATCCGTGCACCCCTCGCCGTGCATTGTGATCCCCCACTGCCTCCCCGCCGCGCCCCGCGGCCGGGGAGGCTGCGGGGCTCCGCGGGGCCGGAGCCGAGAGTGGAGGGGGGTGGGTGCGTGACACCTGGGGGCCCGGCCTTTCTTTGGGGAAGGAACCCCTTCTTTGTCCCCCCTCCTTCCTTCCCGAGGTCCTGAAAAAGAAAGGAAAAATACAGAAAAGAAAAAAAAATAATTCAGCCATGTATGAGAGTCCATCGGGCTGCAGCCCATCGAATTATCCAAACGGGCTGGATTTATTCCCCTGGAAGAAGGAGGCAAAATCAATGAGACCTCTTCAAATAAACACGCACACACACACACACCCCCAATAATCACCTCCCGGATCTCGGCGGGTCGCGCCTGACGATCGCGTTTTGCCAGTTCGGTTAATTTCGGAGCAAACTAGAATCAATTACTCGCTGTTTAATTTCCAGCGCTCATCCCTAAGCCCCAACCAAAATATTGACCTAGGCGGGTTAGATAAGTTGGGCTCTTGCCATCTGAGCCGCCTCGGTCCCGCGCGGGGCCGGGAGCGCGTCCCCGCGCCGAAACGCTGCCCGCGGGGGCGCGGGGCGCGCAGGCTGCGCCGGGGAGGGGGGGTGGGAACAGCCTCCGGCACCCCCCGCGGAATTATTTTTTTTTTTTTTTTTTTTTTTTTTCCTCGCTCGGAGGAAAACATCGGCGGAAAACACACTTTGGAGTGCGCGGAGCGTCGGGCTGGTGCGAAGCTCTTTGTATGTAAATACTGTCCTTAAAAAAAAAAGAAGGGAAGTCGCCCCCTCCTTCCCTCCCTCCCTCCCGCTGCCACACGCGCACACACCCGCGCGAAGGGCCCTCCCCACGCCGGTAATTAACTGACACGTTATACCACTCATCACCAATGGTGGAAGCTCGGAGCTCGCCCAAAACCCGCAATTTCACATCTGCAAACACTGTCTTCATCCACTTGACTTCCAAGACCCGCCCACACGTGGCCAACCTTTCCTGGGTTTAATGTAGGTTTTTTTTCTCCCTCCTCTCGGCAGGTTCATGTGTGGGGACCAGCCTTATATGGACTCCTCGCTCCAGCAATGGCTCGGGATTTTCTAACGGCAGGCGCGGGTTCGGCGCGGCTGAACAAGATCCAGAAGTGATCTTTTTTTTTTTTCTTTTTTTTTCCCCTTTTTTTTTTTTTTTTTTTGGTGGCGTCTCTTCCCCCTTTCCCCCTGGAGTTACAAACTATTCCCGAAGCCAGCTGCTGCTCCCGCTCTCGGAATTTTCCCCCGTGGCAGAACAACCATCACCGCAGAGACCCGTCGCTGCGGCTACTTCTCTCGCACAACCCCCTACGCTTATTTTTCTATAAATCTATATTATTCTATTTTTTTCCCCATCTCCACGCGTGCCGGCCCCCCTCCCTCCCCGTGTCCCTGCGCGCTGTCGTTGCCGCCGCTCCGCGTGTGCGTGCCCACCCGTGACACGGCGGCTCGGCCGAGCTGCGGCTCCAACTTTCCCAGCCGAAATTTGGCCGGAACATGTCTCTGACCAACACAAAGACGGGCTTCTCGGTGAAGGACATTTTGGACCTCCCCGACACCAACGATGAGGACGGCTCGGCGGAGGGCGGCGAGGAAGAGAGCGAGGCGCCCGAGCCGCCCAGGAAAGCGGGAGTTTTGGGACAAACCCCCTTGGACACTGTTCCGACGCTGCCTTTGAAGAGCCCTTTCTATGATAACAGCGATAATCCCTACACGCGCTGGCTGGCGAGCGCCGAGGGCATCCAGTACTCCCGTGAGTGCCGGGGGACGGGGCCGCGGGGGACCGAGGGCCGTGGGGGGCCCTGTGGAGTGCCGGGGGGTGGATGCGGGCTGGATGCGGGATGGATGGGGGAGTCGGCGCTCGCCCCGGCCGGTTCCTCCGTGTCCCCCCACACGGACGGGGCAGCGCCGCTTCCAGCCGCCCCCGGCGGCGGGGCGGGTGTCGGGGGACGACGAAGGGTGGATGGGGGGGGACTCGCCTCTCTCCACGGCTGGCCGAGCCCCGGCCGGTGCCTCAATCCCCGCCCCGGCCGGGAGGGATGCGGGGTGCGGCGGGAGGGATGCGAGGGCGGCGGAGGGATGCGGAGGGGCGGCGGAGGGACCCCCCCGGCCCCTTCCCCGCTGACCGGGCGCTGACCGTCCGCAGTGCACGGGCTGGCGGCCGGCGGCGGCGGCCAGGACCCCTCGGCCAAGTCACCGGAGCCGTCGGCCGACGAGTCGCCCGACAACGAGAAGGAAGCGGCGGGCGGCGGGGACGCGGGGAAGAAGAGGAAGAGGAGGGTGCTCTTCTCCAAGGCGCAGACCTACGAGCTGGAGCGGCGGTTCCGGCAGCAGCGGTACCTGTCGGCGCCCGAGCGGGAGCACCTGGCCAGCCTGATCCGCCTCACCCCCACCCAGGTGAAGATCTGGTTCCAGAACCATCGCTACAAGATGAAGCGGGCCCGGGCCGAGAAAGGTATGGAAGTGACTCCTCTTCCCTCCCCGCGGCGGGTGGCCGTGCCGGTCTTAGTCAGGGACGGCAAGCCCTGCCACACGCTCAAAGCTCAGGACTTGGCAGCCGCGACTTTCCAGACGGGAATCCCCTTCTCCGCCTATAGCGCCCAGTCTCTACAGCATATGCAATACAACGCCCAGTACAGCGCGACCAGCAACCCCCAGTACCCCACAGCACACCATTTGGTACAGGCTCAGCAATGGACTTGGTGAAGGCTGCCGGGGAGCGCGCACACCCGCACACGCTTCCCCCACACGCGCACACACCCAAAAAAAAAAAAAACAAGGAGGAGAAAACAAAAATAATAAAGAGAGAGAGAGAGAGGAGGAGACAGACTGATGCTCCAAAAATAAAATCGAAACTGCGGGGGAAGGAATGGAGAGGGAAACGCTATTATTATTATTATTATTGCTATTATTATTATTATTGCTATTATTATTATTATTATGGTTTTTTTCCCTCTGCCGTTTCTTTTCCCCTCCATTTTTTTTGGGGGGGCTCGGTTTCATTTCGGGGGGAGGCGGGGGGGAAGGGAGGGGAGGTGTTTTTTGTGCGTCATTGTTTACAGAAATTTTTTGCGCCATTCAGAGTGGTCCTGTCTACCTACAACTAAAATAAAAGAGGAAAGGGGGGGAGATCGTCAGAATTAAAAAAAAAAAAAAAAATAAAGAATAAAACCCCCCCGCTGCTCCTGTGATTTTGTGAGGAACGGGGGTGCGGCCGCCGAGCGGGGCACCCCAGAACGGGGAGCTTCATCGCTCCCCTCCGAGCACGATTTGCGGCCCCGACAACTACTAACGGGGCCGTTTTTCCACCTCGTTGTGATTGTCGCTGCCGTGAGCCGCAGCCGGGGCGGTAGGTTCGCTTTCTCCCATTTGGGGCTTGTCTCAACCGTTCCCGAGCGGAGGAAAAAGACCCGCGGACGGCGGAGCCCTCCCCGCCCGCTCGTTGTGCGGCAGCCCCGGGCTCTCCGCGATTTAATACGGATTGGAATTTTTTTTTTAAAAAAAAAAAAAAAGCTGTGTTTCAAGAAAAGAAATGATGGAGAAGGAAACGATAACAACGACGGAACGGTTTTGTTCGAATTCTCGTTGCGGCCGCCGCCTCCTCCCTGCATCGCCCGGCTCAGCCCTGCGTGGGGCCAGCCGGGCCCCCACGGGAGACACGGCCGAGCAGGGCCCCACGCAGACCCCTCCACCAGCCCAACTTCTCTCTTTTTTTTTTTTTTTTTTTTTTTTTTTTTTTTTCCTTGGGAGAGCGGCTTTTTTTGAGGGGGTCAGTCGGCTTTAGCCCGCTGGCGAAAAAATGGGAGTGGGAAGAATTTCTATTTTCACATTTTCTGTCCGTGATTGTGCCTTTCTACACGCCAGTGCCACCCCCGGTGCTGCTGAGGTTTGGGTACCAGCGTCACTCGGCGGCCCTTCCCCGGGCTGAGGGCCCTGCGAACGGCAAGGAGCGCGGAAACTTTGGGGTCAGCCCTCGGGGATGCGCCGGCGGCCCAGGCAGGGCGGGGGAAAGGGTTAACAACGGGAGAACCCCCCAAAAAAATCGGAGGAGGGGAGAGGAGAGAGGCGAGGCGGGGCTGGGCAGCTCGACCGGGATGTAACTGGGACCGGGCAGGCGCAGCCCCGGCTCGGAGCGGGTTGGGGCAGAGCATTGGCTTCCCCCGCCCTCCCCTGCGGCTTTTAGGCTGGTAAAGATGCTTTTAAAAAGCGAAAACAAAACCAAACAAGCTTTTGTCCGGGGTCCTGGGGCCGGGGCAGAGCCCGCCCCGTCCCGCGGGGCTGAGCCCGGCCAGGACGGGGCAGTTCAACGCCAGAGAGGCGACCGGTACCGGCCCGCAGCAACCCGGTCCTGCCAAATCCCGGCCCGCAGCATCCCGGCCTCGCAGCACTCCCGATCCTGCAACATCCCGGTCATCCAACCCCCCCGGCCCCGCCGTGCCTTCTCTGCCCCGGCGCAGCCTCCGCCGGCCACGGATCCCCCCCGCAGCCTTCGCGCTGCGCTCGGGTTTTTGTCCTTTTCCTCATTTTTTTTTTCCTCCCCCTCTTTTCTCGTCCCTCCTTCTCCCGCCTCCCGTCCCCGGCCCACCGAGGCTCCGCGCACCGGCGGAGCAGCCGCGGCCCTTCCCCGGGACAGCCGCTCCCCAGCCCGGGGGAGGCTCCGCCGGGGTCCCGGACCCGCGGGGACACACGGACAAGTGCCGGTTTTCCCTTCTCCAACCGAGCCCAGCGCGCGAGCCAAGAGGGGGAGAGAAGGAAAATTGTCACATTTTGTTTCTTCCTTATGTTTTTTTTCATTTTTAATATTTTTTTTTCCCATTCGTTTTTTTTCTTTCTTTCGTTGGTCGTTGTTCTGGTTCGTACTTCTTTCTGGTCTTTGTCTTGTTTTTTTATTTTTTTTTTAATTTTTTTTTGTTTTTTTTTTTTTTTTTTTTTTTTGTTTTTTTTCTTTTCCATTTTTTTTTTTTGTTTTTTTCGTTCCTTTTTTTTTTGTTTTTCTTTCTTTTTTCTTTTTTTTTTTTTTTTTTGTGTTTTTTTTTTTTTTTTTTTTTTTTTTTTTTTTTGTTTTTTTTTCTTTTTCTTTTTTTTTTTTTTTCCTTTTTTTTTTTCCCCCCCACTTTGCCTGTCTTTTTTTTTTTTTTTTTTTTTCTTTTTCTCCCTTCCCTTTCCCCTCGGGCTCTTGCTGAGTCTATCAAACCAGTTGTGTGGCCCTAACCTCCGTGGCCTTATATCTCCCATGCTGCCGGGCCAGTCTATCTTTGCACAATATACAGTAGACTTCAGAGAGCAGCACAATGGGGGAGGCAGGGAGGTGAGCATGTTAGAGGCGTGCATATTAACGAGCCGGAGCCAAAGGAGCCAAAGGAGCCGGGGAAAAACGGGAGAGACGGTACGGGAGGGGGGGGGGGACGCCCTCCCTGTGCCTTCCCTCCCTTCGCCTTCCCCCCCACGCCTGTTTTGGGGGCACGGCATTGATGCGGAGCGCGGAGTCAGGGAGCAGTGTCCTCCGCGTTTTGTTCGGGCTGTCACTCGCGCTCATTGTTCGGCATGTTCTACATGTTGTATCCCATATGGCCAGCTGGGCCGGGGACCCCTCACAAAACCCAAATTGTGCCCAGCTTTCAAACCCAGCATTGTTGTCTGTGAAAGGGAGGCGAATTAAAAATTCGTGCTATATCTATTCTGGAAAAAAAAAAAGAAGAAGAAGAAGAAAGGGGGGGGGCGCAAGGAGAAAGAATCCCGCTCTCTTCCCTCCCTCTCTCCTCTCTTTGAAGGCCAACAGAGACTCTCCTCTTCTCCCGGTCCCCGCTGACAAGTTTCTCTCTCATTTCACAGGAAATTAGCCCGCCCCCCCCCTCCCCGCCTTCCCCCGATACCGGGCGCATCCCCCCGCGGGAGCCCGCGGAGCTGCGCTGCGCGGCCGCGCTGCTGCGCGGGGGCCGGGGCAGAACAAGGCGGCATTGAGGGAGGGCCGGGCTGCAGCTGCCGCCTCCCTGCGCGGCCCGGCCGTACCGGCTGGCACGTCCCGCTGCCCCCCGGAGAAACGGCCCTTTCTTGTCCGAGCTCCTGGTTGTGCAAGGCGGGCCGGCCGAGGGAGGGAGAGAGGGAGGGAGGGAGGGAGAAAGAGAGAGG